AAATTTGTAAATTGTATAAGAAGCTCCCTTGCCGAGTTGAGATGCGCACTGGCAAGAGTTAGAAACACTTACTCACCCAGAATTTTATAATCATGATCAGAGAAGTTTTTTCACATTAATTTGATATACTAACTTCTTGAACCTTCCTAGAGCTACTCAGAATATCGAGAATTTCTTCGAGGCAGCGGTTCCGCTGCATATTTCGATTATAGTTGAGGCGCAGTTCTGATGAACTCACTTGCAGTTACTTCTCTCGTCTGGGAATGTAGAACGCAATCTTCATTTGCAATGTGTTCGTGCACATAATTCTTTTTTGAGCTTGCTCATCACAGTAGGCCAATTCGAAGGGTGGGGATAAACGAAACACCATGTTTGCATTATGAACCAAACCATGTTTACCTTACTATGACGCTTTTTGTTCTTTGCTAAACTTACAATGCTAAACTTGGAGTGGACTTGATCTCAACTGTTAGAATATCGAAAATCAATCGAATTCTAGCCCTAGACATTAGTGTGCATTCTTATAGGCTGCTATTTACATTTGGTTTGCTACTTGTGCCGCTCTCGTTTGATTGATTTATTTCTCTTACAACCAAATTTCACTTTTCTCTACAAAATCTGGAAATAAGTCGCCGATGCCGTTCTTAGTTCTGACAAGTTTACTCTCATTGCGGTTGGATTTATTGAAGGACCAAAGCTGCTTATATAGCCATCATTCTTTGATTCAAATCGTATTCTACTGTTAACATCTGGAAGCAGTTGCGGTCTAAATCTCGTTACTTGATTGCTTTTCAATGCCGTTAAAGGAAGAGGAAGTCAGCCAGCTAGGATAATTTACTTTTTGTGGTGAACATCTGGTTAAAATAATTTTTTCAAGTTGACCAATAGATCTTCTTGATTTGGTCGAGCTGAAGCAGAGAGTTTTCACCCATCGATATTCGCCAAATACAACTTCATTCCATGCAATTAATCAAGCAGTATTTATCAGTCACTAGCTTCAGTATCCACCTAGAACACTGCTCATCTGCAAAAAGACGCGAAGGCATCTGAGTAAGGTGACATCACCGTAGTGTGACCATATCTCGCTTCGGGGTGGGCTAAAACTGAACATAATGGCATCATTTGATTCAGCTCGACGAGGAGCATCTCGTGTCATGGAGACGCTTGTTTCAGTACGGTAGTCATAAATAAATACAATTTTCGCTTGACGATAGATTAGTCAGGTGCATACGTCCGATAGCCTAGAGAAAGGGCGTCAAAAATGAAGGTTGTTTGAATATCTGCCCTACATAAAAAGTGAAGGTTGTATATAAGAATTCAGAGAAGAAAAAAGATGCAAATAGCAATGCAAAAACAGATAAACGGATAAGAACAGGAAGACAGTTAGTAAAAGCAGAAGAAACTCCTGAAAACCAGACAAAAGCGCTGCAATGAGTTTGAAATCCTTCATTTGGCGGCATTTCGGTGAAGCTTTTCGCTCCAGGTCCAGGCAATCCACAACACGTTGAAGACGAAGAAAAGCTAATTTCTTCTTTGTGATTGCTTCAATGATAACCATCTTCCGAACGTGGTGATTTATCAAAAGGAGACAAACAAGAAAGTAATCTTATATATAAAGCTGAATGTCTGCTTGTATGTCTGTATGTCTGTCTGTATGTCTGTCTGTATGTACGTATGTTCCGAATAGAAAATTCCATTTCCGAACCGATCCGGACCAAACTTGGCACACATACACCTCGAGCCCCGGCGGGTGTCATTGGCTACTTTTCGTCATCGAACGATATCGATTTTATCGATTTCTATCGGTTTTTTGCGGAGTTCACCTACGGGGCTGGGATTTGGCATAGAGGGGTAGTCGAGCATGCTGATTACGAATACAATATTAGTTTTCAGGATTATCAATTACTTCTATCGGTTTTATCGATTATTTGTAAAGTTTGACCTACAGGGCTGGGAGTTTGCACACTGGGGTAATCGAGCATGCTGATTACGATTACAATATTTAGCTTTTAAAATCGTCTATTATTTTTATCGATTTTATCGATTTTTTTGCAAAGTTCGAGCTAATTGAGCATGCTGATTACGAGTTCGATATTAGTTTGGCTCTATTCGGCTATCCGGGCCCCTAATTTTTTTGTGGGAGAGCTTGCTCAAACTTCGTGTATAAGGGTTACCTTAAGGGCCGGGCATACTTCAAGCGATTTTGATTGCGACGCGATTTGGCTATATTCCAGGTGTTCATAACTCATTGTAAGCACATTATAAATGTACAGAAGATAGGGCATTTCATCAGTTTACGTAAGTTATACACAATATGCATGTGCAGTTTGCTAATGCTGGATCCGAAGACTTCTGGCGAATTGCCAAATCGCGTCGCGACTGAAATCGCGCGAAGTATGCCCGGCCCTTTACATCTTGATTACAGATATCTACATCTTGATTACAGATATCACTCATTCAGAACGTCTTTCCGTGTGGTTACGATAGGTGTACGGTAGGAAGTCAAAATTATGAATTCGGCTGGAGTTCGGTCCATATGGCTCATTCGACATGCTAATTATTAGGGTGATCAGTGAAAAATGGGGCAGCTTGATTTTTATTAGATTTTGAGATTTTTTGTTTCGATCAACAACAAGCAGGCTGCGTAAACGTCGCTTATACCTTCGCCTGTTATTCCGGCAAAGCGTCAACGTTCCTCTCCCACAACCACAGCGTGGCACCCTGAAGAACACGAACAGGTTTTTTTTACATCGCTCATTCTTGCGTTGTTAAACCGTAATACCGTTCGAAACAGCTCTTCATGCTCTTTCGAACGATTTGTTAAATGCGTGAGATTTCCCTTCAATTCCAGAAAAAAATCAAAAAAAACCTAAAAAATAGCTATTTTGGCGCAATAAAAAACCAATAAATCAAGTTTCAATCTGTATTTTCCAAAGATAGGTAAAATGTGAGGTAAGCTGCATATGGATGGATAGAGCGTAAAAAGCGCTTTCAGATGGTACCTATAAAATATGCGTTCACCTGCAAAGCATTGAATAGCACGCATCTTTGTTCTCAAAGCTGCTAATGGCCATATCCCCTGAATTTGAAAGTTTAGACCAGCAACCAACGTGGGTCTGGTGACTGTACCTTCACGCATTGCAGCAGTAGTGCTCTGGATGGTTTATTCTAACAACCTTCAAAATTGTGAAGTTTAATCACTTTTCTTTTTTTGAAAAATCTACATTTATTCTCTAGGTGCCCTATTCTTTACCGATCACCCTAATACGAATATCATCTCTCTCTGCATATTGGGGCCTTTTCATAGAGTTGTGGTGGTTATATGGCATGGGGTCAAAAACATAGATTTGCTTTAATCTTTGTCTAGGGTGGTCATTCAGCGCGCTGAACATGAATATCATGCTAATTTCGCAGGATAGTGCATTTTCTTAGGTTACCGTGGGTGTAGATGGGTCGAAGTTCCAAATTTGCTCAAAACCTTACCTGTAACGGTTCACAAGTATATCGCTTATGAAAATGATGCTTGCTCGCTGTCATAACGCAATAGTGAAGTTATGGTGAGTTGCAGGGTTTGAATGGACATTTTTTCGCTTTCGGGCAATTTAGATCCCAGATATTCAAGGTGAGTAAACGGTCGTTTTGCATGGCGGTCTCCAGCGCCATCCTGATAATCTATCCCAACGCGTATTCACGCGGCAAATCTCCGTCCACCTGTTTTTGCTTAGGCAAAAGCCGCCGAAGGGTGTGTCGCGCGTGGCAGTGGTCCTATAAGGAAACTGATAACCTGTCCCAACGCGTAATGCACGCGGCAAATCTCCCTCCCCCTGTTTTTGCTTAGGCAAAATCCGCCGAAGGGTGCATCGGCGTGGTCCTATAAGGGAAAGCATTACGGTTATGGGAAACTTTTATACCACACGAATTGCCTTTATCATGGGAATTGAGCACGATATTCTTGAAAAAGCACTTTAGGTAGTTTCCTGCCAAGGTTTGGCAAGTTCATGATTTTTTCCAGCTGCTATGTACATACCGTAACTCTGCGAAAAGGTCTCAAAACGCAACGAGAGTGTTTTGAACGTGATTAGAAGGTCGAATCTCTCTAGACCGAGTTTCAGCCAAAACTGAGATTGCATCCCCTCTGCGAGGGTGTTGAGGAAGAATCAGCAACGCGAAGCTGTAACTGTTCGAAGAGTTGACGAAATAGTTTTCTTCTGAATATCTATTTTTGATTTTGAGTGAACAGAGTACTGTAGTGTTGTAAGAAATTAGCATCGCCTAACAGGAGAAAACCGAACATTGTCTGATGAGTTTGGTGAGCATTTTGAGCACAGCAGTTACACTCCAGTTCAGTTCGAGAATGGTGAGCACTCAAGCTTGCATGCTCACCATGCCATGACCTTCGCATACACACTCGACGATTTGATTTCCTCATCTTTACACTTTCGTACAGAAAACAAATGCATCTTCATCAACGTTTATCAGCTGATGAACTGAACTTTCGTACAGATGAATAGTAACCACGCTTCGAACAACAATCCGACAGTCGGAGGCAAAGGCACTGACCGTAGCGGTCACCATTTCATGCAAGTAGCATAATCACGCGTTCTTGCACGCTATGGCATCGGTGGGAAATTTTGAATCACTGAACACAAGAAAGCACTTCTGTGTTTTTGCGTCCCTGAAACCAAAACAATGTCATAGATTCTACACTTGTCTTAAAAACCCCTGCACGTATGCCAAAAGACGATCAATCATAACTAGCTAACCTGTAAAGCTGAATGGGAATTGAGGTAAACTCGTTGATGTCGGACAAAATAACTAACTGTGTCAATAATAGTTTCGAATATTTTGTTCTGCAACACTCCAGTGATATTCTAAACAGGTAATTTCATGAAAGTTTACAAATGACAATCCCAGATACATACCGCTTTGTGAATGCGCTCGTTGTGATCTATGGACACCGTCAACGCCATGAGAGCAGGTTTATAGTCATCGAAGATAGTTTATGAAAGAACGCATACATCAGACTGATACTGCTCGATGCTGATGTAGGCCTTAAGATAGTGCTGGCTGTTCTTCGCATAAATCGCTCCCATACTAGCGTGTTTGTACAAAATTTAACATCAAGCAACCGAACCACACCATAATATAATGAAGAAATATGGACAGCTAAGAAAAATTCTTGAACTCTGGCTAAAGCGTTTGATGACCACAACTTACCCATCCAGTAAATCAACGTTTCACCACAATCTTCGACTTCTCTACTAAAGTATATTTGGTTCATCTTTTTGTCCAGTGAAACAATGAGCACTTCAGCCTGATTGGTTTTGAAGTCGCTTGTGAACCAGCACAGCTCAAAGCATAACTGCCACACTTTGAAAACCAACATCAATTACCGATGGTCCTGATACTATTTTACTTTCCGCCTTTGAACAATCCAAAAGTACTCTAAATCGAAAACTAACGAGAGCTATGAGGCTTCCACTGCTAATGTTGCTCTTCTCAAGGCTACCGATGACATCCCCTCATCCTCAGTCGCACAGTGAACCTATAACATGCTTGATGAGAAATTGTAAAGCAGGAGGAAGTTCGCGCCTTCGTGAATGATTACACGGAATTGACACAGTAAACGTCCCCAGCAGCATAACTCCTAAACACCACAAGTCAAAAAGGTAAAAACACGTTAGTAGACGATATTACAGTACTTTTGATATTCCGTAACTTGTGGACAAGCTGGATTGTAATTCTGTAAAACAGTGCGGTCTTTATTTTGCAAAACAACGGCTGACAAAGGAACTTGTGACCGATACAGCATCATCGTAAGCACGCCAACCACCGTGATTGATACAAGGATTATGACAGCACAACTGAGATACGAAAAGTTTGCACAAATGGAAAAAAACGTGAGGCAGACATGGTTCAATGAAAAAGTCATGCTGTGACTACGCCATATAGTGTTTTTCTCCAGACTTGAAAGGTAGAAGCAAAAGAACAAAGAAATGAAAAAAGGGAGTGGTTTACAGAATTCTGTCCAACTTTATGACTTGTTTTTATATGGGCCATCAGAGAAAAAAAGAATTTTTCTGAAAATCACAAACCTCAACAAGCGCACAATGATCCTTCAGAAATGCCACGAAGAAGGATCAAAAATTCATCTCCGCCAGGCATGAGATGAATTTTTGATCTTGATCGGTCCGTTTCTGATAAGCTGTAGCAAGGTCTGCCCTTTCACCAAGCAGACTTCCATCTAAATAAAACGTTTTTTACCGGCTGCTCACTTCATCTAGACTAAAAATCACCTCCTTAATGGTAGCATAGAACATTGCGCAAAGCTTCCCTTTATAAGCATTATCCTCAGCTTCGATTTGTATCATGGAAATTGCGTCAAACACTGAAGCGTAATCACCAAATAAATTTCCAGTGACAGGAACTGGATCAAAAAGTTAAATGACAAAAAGACGGCACTGTTGACGCTTACGTTTTCACTGAGTAGTTGCGTAATGTTCGTCTCAAACACGTATCTCACAGAAATCCATGAGAAAACGGTGCAACGTCTTCAACGTTGCTTCGTAATCGAATTTGCAGGACATTTCTCCTAAACACGTTTCAGTAGAAGCTATGAAGATAATTACTTTGCGAGAAATTAAATTAGACTCACAGAATTGCTATGCAAAGAGTGAAAATTGGAATTGACCATAGAACTGTTGTTGTAAGTGTTGCTCCTTAGCCTGAGTTAGGTTTTTGCTGCCGGAAATCGAACACTCCTTCGCTTAAAGCGGAATGATAGTGTCTTTGCACCACACCAAGCATTACAAAAAGCAACGAACCTTAGCAAACTCAAGATATTCATATTATTTACACAAATGTTATCATTCGTCTTCGATGACTCAACGATATCCGTGGTAAACGTAGGCCAGTTCTTTGACCAGTCTTGCTTTGCAATCTTAAAGAGAAAAAATTGTGTGAAAATCGCAAAGATAACAAAATCTGCCACCATCACGCAATCAAAATTTCGCTCAGAGCTGGAGTATGGCAAAATGGCGGTGGAGCGCGATATCTGATATGGCGATTTTCGGAAAAAAGCGGATAAAAAACGACGGACAGAGGGTGATATGAAAATGTTTCTGTGCTCAGGGATAGATTTTTCACCGGGGCATCCGTTTATGCTAAAATGATCCGAAACTTATGTGAAATGACGAAAATATATGCTCCAGACGATCTCAGATCGTCTGGTGGCCGTCTGGAGACGATCTAATTTTGGAAAAGGTATTACTTCACATAAGTTTTCAAATCTTTTTACATAATCCTTCCGCAAATAATTTTGTATACATACATTCCAATTTTGGTATCGTATGATTCTGTGTGCGTTGTAAACAAGCAAATGGTTCATTTTAGCCTTGCTTTCAAATCGCGCGCACTTTTCGCCATACACGATAGAGCATGTCAATCGTGTGATAACCTGTCCGAAAAGCTTGTGTTCGTCTGGATGGCCGTTTATCCTTGACATAGAGGAGAAAGTGAAGGAATTATGAAGGAATTATCAGAACTTATAATAACTGGCTAAGGGTGCTTACGTTTTTTGTGTGGTGTCTGTTTGTCTGAAACAAATTTGCAAATTGCAATTTGAATACTTGAGACTATGGTCTATCCTGGTTCCTTAATGCTTTCAAATGAGGACTTTTAGGTTTTGGAGTTGGATAGTGGAGAGTTAGCGATGATTGCTGCTGTTGAAGTACATCTACAGAGTTGCCTTAAGGATCTGGAAGACCTGGGGTTTAGTGACTCAGAGATAATTTCTTGGTCATTTTCATTGCTCCTGCTTGTTGCATGAATTTTTTTTGGTGCTTTCGTCACTACTCACGTTTGTCATCGAGATTTCCTTGTGTAATGTGTATTCGAGTCTGTTTAGGTTTCAAAGCCAATTGCACCATTCTTGGAAACGACTGTATCAGATCTTCAATTGACAAGCATCCAGATCCAGGAGCAAACTACCGTGAGATCTACTAATTTTCCTAAAAATTGAGTTGATCTCTCTATCACTTACTACACCATAATCATGTTTCTCTCAAATTGTTGTTTAGGAATGCCATCTCAGGAGCGACTCCCTCTATATTCGTTTGAGGGTTGCTCCGCTACCAGATGAAGTGGTAGCTTTACTCGAAGAGTCGGCAGAGATTCTGAAGTCTATAAGAGGAGGGCATGTAGATGATACGACTTTGACAGAATTTAAGTGAGACGTTTCAGTACCGTATTCTTTGTGTACTGCTAAAGCCGATGGGGCATCTGGCTCTGGTCATAAAATCTCTGCGGGGTCTTAACGAAACCCTGCAACATTATATATCATTCTGATCGCCATGACACGACGAGGAGTAGATAACGTTCTAAGCGTTGAAAATCCCTCATTAACGAGAGAGACCAGCATTTCGTGCGCGGCTCTGTGCGCAAAATTTGAGCGCGCAATTTTTCGTTTTTATTTAATTCAAATAGCTTTCCTAAACTTCTGAAACTAGTTTTAGCCAAATGAGTTCTCAATTTATTGAGAAATGTTGTCCTGGATCCTGGGGAATTTTTACAGACACCTTTATTTTAGCGTAAAAGCCATGAAAGGAAATTCGTTACGCTGGGATGATTCAAGGATATTACTATATTTACTCCATTCACATTCATTCACTTATAATCATGACTTATAATAAGCCGCTAATTTGTCGGTCTGTAAATCTGTCTGTTACGAAATTACAGTGAGGAATGATTCACATTGCTTAAATGCATGTGAGAGTTGCAAAGCAAGTAAGGTTCATTTTTGTAATTATTTTGCGGTTTCCTCCATCAAAGAATGATAAAGGCCAAGATGATTACGTAAGTTTACCTATACTTTTCGTGATGGCCAGTGCGAACCTCTGCGAAGCAGAGGTGAAGCACTGGTCAGGATTATAACATCAACATTCGCCCCGGATAACTTCTGTTTTTTTTTCAGGTGAAAATTGTGCTCTTTTATGTTGCTCAACGTGAAATTCACCAGATCACATGTCTCTATGCTTTCTAGCTGTCAAAAACTGCCACGCGCATACGTTGGCAAACGTCGGCAAAGCTCCGCCCACTATATTGTAGGGGGACAATACCTTCTGGGTCCTTGTTGACTTGCATATGCTACGTCATCGTTAACTGGTCCAGTGATAAGCTCGAACACGTTGACTTGTGTAGTCAAATTAAAGGCAGTGTCCACGCAGATTTGGAGCTCCTCAGTTCCAACATTTTATTGAAGCGGACTCCTCATACAGACCATAGTCCAGTTTCGAGTGCAAAATATTGCTTGTGAAGCGAGTGAACCGCTTCAGAAGTCTGAACAGAGACACCCCCTTGTCCGTACCGAAGCAAGTAATCGTGCCGGGACGCGTGGTTGCAGCCAATGACAGCGTCGCAACGGCGGCGTCCCAGTCGGATTCCCTGCTTCGGTACAAATAAAGGGGCGTATCTGTTCAGACTTGTGAAGTGGTTTACTCGCTTCACAAGCAATATTTTGCACTCGAAACCGGGCTATGGTCTGCATGAAAAGCCCGCTTCAGTATACTGTTGGAACTGAGCAGCTCCAAATCTGCGTGGACACTGCCTTTAAGGATAAAGAACTGATGAACAGGATGTTCGCAATAACTTGTACTTAACTGTTGGCCCACCACTTCCGCTGCGGGGTACCATTCTCTAGATGTTTGTCAACAGATATCAACATTAAAAACGCAACAACAATTAACATGAGATCACACTTCTCTTCAATGCATGGAGGTCGCCTCTTCAATGCATGGAGGTCGCCTTTAGCGACACTGCGCATTCGCAATCATAACTGTACAGCTCTGTCAAACTCGTTCTCAAATTTTCCTCCACAAGCTTTTCTACTTTATGAGAAAGGGTGCGGTGCGGATCTAATAACTAAAAAAATCTTTAGATGATTATATATACATAGTTTTTGGAGCATTTCTACTTCGGCTTTGAATAAAAAAAATTTTACTTTAACAGCAAACCAAGAGCAATGCAGCGACTAGCGTGATTAGTGCTAATGCGAAGCTCGAACTAAGGCTCAAAAAAATCTGTAAAATCATTCCTTCACACTATTGGGGACATCCAAAGAAAACGGCAGTTAAATTGTCCAAGATTCGGATACGTTCAATAAAAGGTACAGCAGACAGCAGTAGGCATGTTGCACCAAATTTCACCGATTCTATTGATTTATTAATTTTTGTTTTTTTCGGAAGCTGTAAAAGGGTGTTGTTTGGTATCTAATCAAAACTGTGGTTGTTTCAGAAACGTTCGCCTTGTTTTATATTGTTTCCGTGAGAGTACGTTATCACGGTACTCCATCATGAGATTTCAGCAAGCATTCGGGTCTGCACTACTATGAAGGGGCATCGAATCGCAATTTTGTTTCCATAATTCTAAATCTCATACCATCGATTCAGTAAACATATATTAACGAGAGAAAAAACTTTTTGTCTGAAAACGAAAGAATTATGGATGAGCTAAATGACTCTTGAACTTTAGGCCGGCTGCTTTTCTAATCTTGAATACTATTATATTTCCACTCTCCCACTCAACAAATTAGCTAGATTAAAAATCTCACTTGCCCAGGATCCAGGCTTGTAACCAATATGATCTTGGCCTTTTCGGAGTGGAGATTCAAGTACGTAATCGTTTTTCATTTCCCTTGCGCAAAGCTCAATATATTAGGTCGTTCCAAAAGTAATGTCGCTTTTTTCAAATGAACGCCACATTTTATGGAATCAAGATTTTTAAGAGATCTTAAGAGCATTCGATGCAGCATATCATCCACTTTCTAATGGTTGTAATATCGTTGCATAATATTCAATGAGCTCTGGAAAAATTACCAAAATCTGCGACCCATGCTTTTTGCCATGGTCAAGTTCGGCTATTTTTCTATGTTTTTGTACCTATTCTCCGAAGAAGTACAAGTGACTAATAGATAGAGCAAACCCTATAGGACATAGAGTAATTGTTTCTTTTCCTTAGCTTGCTTCTTAGAGTTTCTGGAATCAATCTTTCAATGCTATCAAATCCCATATTTGGTTAACTTAAAAATCACGGAACAACAACCGGCAAGCAACTCGGGTGTCATTCGACGCAGCTTTTTCTCCTCTTTCTAACAGTTGTTTTTTATTTCTGATTCATCAAATTTTCCGGGATAAAATCATCATAATTCAGGTTTTCCAGGGCGCCCCAGGCTGTACACAGAAATTTCGAAGGTTGCTAATCTGAAGCGGTGAATGCCCATTTGGTTTGTAAAATTAGCGTCAAACAATAATCCATCTTTGTAAGTTTTAAAATCCGAAGATTTATTGGTGTTTGATGCATTTGTGTCTGAGACGAGTCTGCTGAAGTTCGGTGGTTCTATCAAAAAATCCATACAAAAATTATAAAGAGCTCTGGAAAGTAGAAAAAAGTTGTGCTGTTTCCCGTAGGGTCTGCTCCATCCATCCACTACTTAAGCTCCTTCCGAGGATTGTTATAAGAATTTAGAAAAATTGTGAAAATTGGCCTTCTTGAAAAGCATGGGTCGCAGATTTTGATAATTTTTCGAGAGGTTACAAAATCTCTTGCGATGATTATATAACCGTTAGATAGAGAATGAAATGCTGTCTCAAATGCTACCAGAGTCTTTCACATATCTTTGTTCCACGCGATGTGGCGTACGTTTGAAAAAAACGACATTACTTTCGGAACGACCTAATAGCTACATCAATTTTCCAAGGGCATGCAATTTTCTATGCCTAGCCAGTTAGTGCTCTGCAATTTGAGCTGCACTTAATACTGATAGTAGCTTCATGTTTACTTCCCGTTTTCATCTTCTACAAAAAAAAACCGATTCACCTCTCATCGCTTGATGTTTTAGAAGGGCGCTGCAATCGAACAATCTAGCAGCTGGCGGGAAAAGTGGAAAATTAGAGAACAAGTGGCAAAGGCAAATTTTTCTCACACTTGTCCATTTGCCAC